GGAGCCTGACGTGTCTATCCAAACGATTATTTCGGGACCGAGAAATTGAGAAATATTCAGATGCATGGGCGTCCACCATACCTGCTGTGCTGCTCATCATAAGGAATCAAGTGCGGGTATGCTTAATCAGATTGTTATGCAGCTATTTCAGTGGAAGGCTTTGGATTTATCCTTCACTTCGGTCGTAAAGGAATTACTGTAGCGGTCCGAGGGCTTGGCACCTCGGACCTGTCCTTACAAGGGGCTTTTTGTTTTTTCAAAAATCCTTTAGTGACCTTGCACTTGCGAAATCTAGATGCGACATATCATTTACTTTGTTAAAAGTAAGAAAAGAAAATTTTTTCAACAACTCTGTTTTCACGGTCGATTTCATTGCAGATGGTGAGAAGAACGTTGGATTGAAATTAAAATCTATGCTTACAGATAGATTTGTAAGAGGGAAGGATACTTTCTTGCAGAATAAGTTACGAAATCTGTCTTGAATAACTCTAAAGACTTAAATATTATTGTGAATTAAAGTTAATAAATTTTAATTAAACTGAATAGTATGCAATTTAAAGTAAATTTAGGAAAACAAGATGTATTCAAAATAAATTAAATATGTTTATTATTAAATTAAAATGTTCTTTATTGATAGATTTGAAAATTAAATTACTGTAGAATTGAAGATTTTACTTTAATTAAAATTAAAACAAACATTAACAAGAATTAAACTAATATGCTTGAAGTTAAGAAAAAAATGTGAATATCGTATAAGTAATCATTAAAGAAATATTACTTATCATAAATATTAAATTAATTGTAGAAAAAAAAGAAACAATACGTTGTATAAATGTAAACGATTGAAGTTCATTGCATGAAATGAAATTGTTGAAGCGAATATATGAATTAATTTGTCTATTGGAATGATAAAAAACAACTTAGATATACTAGAAATTGTGCTGAAATACAAAATCTGAAAACAATTGCAAAGAAAATGAAAGTCTGAAAATTTGCATGTGTTTGAGTAGGGCTGGTCGTGTATTGTCTCTTCCAAAATTTCTTTTTTGTTTTCCTTTTGCCGACAGTAACTCCTCGCTTTCTACAGTTACAAATTTGTGAGTGGTTTCTTGAGGTAGTGGGATAGTTTAAGAATTAATCTGGTTAGATCTCCTTCTAGATTTTTGCCACATGTTCTCTTATCAGATAACTCCCTTCTATAATTGCTATCTCCTCCTATATTTCAGCTAAAGTAGTCCCTTTTTTATTCAAAGAAGTAATTATATGGTAAAATCTTATTTTTATTTTCCTTTTTTGTCAATGTAACAGGTAATATGTCATGGAATCCAAAATAACAAATCTCCACCATTCATTTAAATTTTTTTTGACATGTGGCATCATCTTAATTTTTTACAATTTATGGTGTAAACACTTCTCTTTTCTTTTTCCTTTTTTGTTTTTTTTTTTT